GAATTCGAGCTCAAGAGTTGCGCTTGCGGTATAATGGTGTCACATAGTCAAATATCAACTGTTATGTAAGTTACCAAACCTAGCGGTCTAAATAAAAAACCAAAAAGTATTTATCAACGGTTGCTCATATTCGAAACAGTGGACAAGTCTTACCATTTCTCTAAACGTAAGATGTGGTTTTGGAGCCGGCCGTTATGCTACAAGCAGGGCTATCGTGGGCGCAGCCATGATTAATGCAATACGGCCACTGATCACTTTCCTTATTAGAGTAATGGCGATATTATTGGCATAGAATTTAATCTTATTTGTAAAATACTTTTAATCTTGTTAATGAACTTCGTTATCGCCAGCCACAGTTTTTCGATCTTAAGCTTATCAATAGTGTAGTTACAGTAAGTAGAATATTATGGTTAATAACGGATCTAGACAAATAACTAAACTAAAGTTATATCAATCACGCGCAGTTCATAACTTAGGACTAAACGAATTCATAAGATATTTTAATATTATATTTTAAAAAAACAACACATTGATTCACCACGAAGGAAACGTTGGGTTATCCACCTCCACGTCTTTTAAAAACTTTCATTAAAAATATCGATATATAGTGACTGAGATACGTAATCAAATCGCTTGCCGCCCAAATAGATAGGTTCTACCTGTAGTTTGAACCGAAAAGAGGTAAATATGCATTGACATAATGTTCTAAGTGCCGATCGCTGCTCGCTCCACGCAATTCACGTATCCTACTCGAGGATACATATTTCTTAATATTTTTTCGAAATTCAATTACCACTAATTAAAATATAAATATGTAATAATTTACTAAATTAGGTTTTCCCTGCCTTCTACGACATGAAAAATTTGCAGCCGTGCAGAATCATTTACATTATATTGTTGTTGCTAGGTTTAGCGTAAACAGTGCCACACACTCATTGTGACATATGTCATGCTATGCAATTAGATCAGTGGAAGGTTTAGAAGCCATGTCCTTGCATAATTGGCTCAGGATGTAATCCAAACCGAAGATTTAGTAAGCACGTACAATCTACGCAGTCACGGTATAATACAATACGTGCTATACATTCGTACCTAATGATTTTTTGCACACAATCACAGAGTAGATAAGAACTTTGAAACGTCAAAAAGCCATAAAAGCCTTATGTTGATCCGATCAAACGTTGTTCAAAGTTTACGTCGTGAACAATACAATCAAAATCAATCTAATTACACGAGGCCGCGCCCAACCCTAATCAATTATATTTCAACAGAAATCTCTTATCTCCTCTATCTCGTCCATTCCGGCGACTAGACATAACTGTGGCCGATCTAATGTTGTCCAGTGGGAAAGACGTTATAAATCTGAAACTACCTTATTTCTCAGTCGCTCCTTATTTAGACAAAATTGATTCCGTATTTGTGAATATTTCCTATAATTTATAATATACGACGGTGTCGGTACTTTGATTAGTAACTTGGCACATATTCTTACTTATTTATCCTTGAAAAGATATTTAATCTCACCGTTGCCACTTTTACTTTAATAATACTGATTGTGTGATATGTATTTTCTAGAAATTTATGGCCAATAATTTCATTAAATTTAAACGAAAATAAACTGGAAATAAACCGTTGCAGCCCATCGGAGGTCCACCGCTGAACATAGGCTTACCCATAGAAGTAACCGTGTAGTGGCGGTGCAGGAACATTCACTACCCAGTATAGTCCCGCGTGGGTGTCGTAATAGGCGACTGATGGAGACAAAACAGAAGATGGCCAGCAGCGTCTACCTAATGACAACAAAAAAAAAACGCGTGATAAAATAAAGTCGGTTTACGGACGACAGTTTAACGTGACAACGTCATTACAAAACGTTGACGAAATTGTTGCGTATTTTTATGAATAAAATTGAATAATTTTTATTGAATTACCACTATTTTGAATGGATACAAAGAAGCAGTGAAATAAAATTCATAATTTAATTGTAAATTTACTTTTACGCTCAAGCCGATCATGCCTTTCGCTCGTTCATGCAGCGCTCTCGCTCCGATCGTAACGTTACAATGAGCGTAACGTTACCATGAGTCATAATTTTTATGCGTGCAGCCGGCGTTCATCGATTTTATAAACGTTGTCACGTGAAAAATGTTGTTCACGAACCGCCTGCCTAGCGTGGTAGCTATGGTAAATATCTCGTCTATGAAAATAAACCTTTGTATTAAATTTTTGTCCTAGTTTCGATTTTGCAAATATGCATGTGCAACCAGCAGCTTGTTCGCTTGCAATTTCACTTTCTTTTGCAAGTTGTAGTCGAAATATTTAACCAGAATATGCCCAAATTCATTATTTCAATTTAAACACAATCGTTGACGTTATAAGATCTATAATCGTCGTTATTGGCCTAATACAGTCATTGATTTTTCGTGGAATTAAAACATAAATGTAATATAGCAATTACGCCTCCACAATACACCCGGCGTCGGCTCATTTCCGTGCCCTCCGGCTGAACTTTCACTAGAACGCTCCGCCCTAAGAGACGAAAGCTATTTCTAGACATCCCATGCACAGATAACCTACATAACAGATTGCAGATATTCTGAAATTTATGTTCTTGGTTTGTTAGAATAAAATCATTTGAATAGCGGTTATAGATTAACTGCATAAATCGTTGCACCGTCTTTAGCTCTGAACTCGTATAGTTAAAAAGACAAAAGGTGAGGGATAGGAAACGCAGAGTGATTATGTGATATAATTGTAATTGATACTAATATTTCAGAAACGCCCCACGCACCTAATTATTTAAGCGATACTATGTCCGATGTACAATAATTACAATTGAAAGGGCCCGAGTGTTTTAAACCGTTTAAAACTATCGTTATTAGTGACTAATTGCTTCCAAGCCAGTTAATTGTTATGGCTTTAGACATTCGGTATTGCACGGGTATTGTCTGCGACGAATACGGATTCATTTGTGTCGGTTCATATTGTTATACATCCAAGAATTTCTAATCACTTTGGCGTTCCATACTTATTAAATTAATATAGATACTTTCTAATTTAACAGTCTTACTATTTTTTATAGAATCTTACTATGTTTACAATGATTTTTCTTTTTTTATCTTCTTACTATTTCGATTAAAAACTATGAAGATATGCTATGATTTTTATTTCTGCTCTTTAACAAGTTCTGCCTCCATAACAAACTTTAGGCCCTGTATCTATGTAAGATGTCTTATTTTGCACTAAATTTTGGAGTAAGAACGTGTATAAACATCGCTTTTACACATTAAATACGAGTTACTAAATGTATGTACATTTATGCATATAATAATAAATAAAAATAAGTACTTAATATTTATTAAAAAGTAATTTATTTCTAATACCTTTTATAAAAATATTATATATCAATAAAAATGTAACTATTATATCACCATAGTTAAAAAAATGTGCATGATGTTATGATGTATTATAATAACCTCTGTGACTTTTTAGTTTGTTACGTTTAGCACCTAATGATTACAAGAGTCTTCGTCTTCAAGTTCATAACACTCATATCTTTAGGGTGCGATTGACCTAGTGCTTGAGCTATTTAGTTGCGAAACTTAAGGTCGTTGGTCAAATGGCAAGTATACCTTGTAAATTTCCCCACCAAAATTTGATTGACGTGTTTAGCCGCCTTAAGCGACGTAATTTAAAATCACGTAATTTAAATACATATAAATGTTACACCAGAAATCGAAATTGATTCTATTGATATATATTCGTATATTATTCATATTTTTCTTTCTTGTCTCTAATATTTACTGTTTTTTTTTTTCTAAATGTTAAAACCAGCACCCCTGACACACATAATATCTAAATAAATCGATTATGTAATTATAATGTGTACGCATATTATAATCATCATTATCATTATAGTGGATCAAAGTCCAATGCTGACTACAGACCTCCTCCATATATTGCCTCATACGGGAGACATTTGCGATAGCATAACCACGCTTAGCAGCTTTTTTAGTATCTTGTGGAAAATGCTACAGCCCATACCCTGTTTCAGTTTATCTCTGTCCTCTGTTACGGCACCTACGGAATAATATGGGGTGGTGGAGACTTACGCCACTACTACACGGTGGCACAAATATGTAATATTTACTGAATTCCATTCATCAATCTATCTTGACTCCTTATAACAGTAGGTCCGTACTACAAAAAACGTGCTATAAAACTCTTATTTCTTAATTACCATGAATAATAAAAACGGTTTTACTCTGAGCAAAATACGAATAAACGGCACTCGCAGAGTTCTAATTGCACTCTTTAACATTGCGTTACTAAAAAGATAGAAGTAATTATCTTTCAAATTTAATCTGGTGGAATTGCGTGCGGCGCGGTTAGCGAGCCTCTTTTGCAATTAAACTGCGGTTATCCTTCGTTCTAAACGACGAGAAAACACTATTTATCGCTCTTCATTTGATGGTTCCATGTTCACAAACGGTCCTAAGCTTCCTTTTCAATATATTTCTTGTTGTAAAGTACTTATTTTAACCCATCTTACTTTTACTACAACATTAATGTTTTTAAATGTACATTAATAAAATAAAAACATTAAAAGGGAATATAATATCACCTCGGAATATTACACCCGGCCATTTTCCGTATACAAAAATGTCTGGTATTTAGTTCTGTTTTGTTAATCGACAATAATTTCTATGTAAATTTTTCTCTGTAGGTAAGTACGGCTTGTGTATGTTCGTAATGTGATTTTTTTTCAAAACGGACGAAACGTTTCTCTTGAATACTTTTATATGTCTATTAAAATAAGTTAACCTGGATATACTTCTACTTTCAATTATTTTGTACATAATATGCATACTCTATGGTAAGTTTAGAAGTCACTTAAATGTCAAAATTGACAGTGTTCAATTTGACATAAACTGATAAAATAGTTGGTATCTTGAGGTGATTTTCAAACTTTTTCAATCCTAAATTAAAATCCGTTTAAAATGTCGTCAGAAGACAATGTGATAAAAACAACCGATTCAACAGAACTGATGTATATGGGTAAGGATGACGAAACTTCGGAAGAATTACCAACAAGCGACTGGTCCTCCCTAATCATTGAAATTAAAGAGGAAAATAAGAAAAAGGCATTATACGCTGCAGGTCTATATGAACCTGGTAGTAGAGAAATATGCACTAAATACATTCCTATGTCTGCAAGCTCAATTATAAGACATCCATATTATAACTACCCAGCTGTGCTTAACCCTGGTATAAAAGAAGCTTTATTCGAACAGGAAGAAAAAGTAGTATATCCGTCTGATGGCCAAGAACTATATTTAGCAGTATGCAAAGAATTTAATCAGTGTCCAGTAAGATCTTTTTATAATGAATTATTAGGTAAATCAATAAATTTAAGTTACTATTGCATTAATCCGTACGGCGTCAAAGCAATGGCTATGGCACTTCAACACAATCGAAACGTTACAGTTATCGATTTGACTGATAATTTTCTTAATGACGACGCTTGTTATCATTTGAGTGAGATGTTAGTAGTAAACTCTGTGATAAAAGAACTTAATTTATCAGGTTGTCGAATTGGTCCAAGTGGAGCAAAACGATTATTTGCCAACTTGCCTACGAACCGTTCACTTCAATGTTTAAATTTGAGCAGAAATGAATTAGGTGATGAAGGCGTAAAATATATTGCAGAAAGTATTATTGATGGCCTCGAGGTTCCCCAATTGTATTTGAATTATAATAATTTGACTGGCGACTCAGCAAACTGTTTGACTGAATCACTTGAATTTAATAACAAAATTACACATTTGGACCTTTCTTGGAACAAGCTTTCTATCCTGCCTCACGGAACATTTCACTTGCTGTATCAATTAAGCGAAAGTGAATATCTTGAAGAATTGAATTTAGCTTGGAATTCTCTCTCTGGTGCCCGAATTGGAGCAGCTATTAAAAATGTAATGACAGCACCTAAACTAAAAAAATTAAATCTTAGCAGTAATAGATTATCCAATGAAGCTATTACAAATATTGCAGAAGGATTAGTAAAAGCAGAAAGTTTAGTAACTCTAGATTTATCAAACAACCCTATGTCTATCAAGGATGCACAGAAGATAGTTTTAAAAATAAAATCCTCAATAGTTAGCATTCAAAATCTTCTAATGGAAAATGTATTTGTTGATAACAAATTCTTGCGTCACTTGCAACAAATCAAAAATTTGAAAACAGATTTTGTTGTCGCATACGGAGATGTCCTTGACAGTCGTAAACCTACAGAGTCCGATATGAGAGAAATTTTACTCAACCGAGCTGAATATCTGGCAAAGAAACCTAAAAAACGACCTGTCGATTTCGCACTTGTAGCGATGCAACTGTTGAAAGACAATAACATTACCATGACTGCTAAAGATTTCGCTAATGCGATCGGACTATCTGGGGCGCCTTTAGATGAAGATCTAGTTGATGAGATGGTTAACGTTTTTGCCGGCCCAAAAACAGCAAAGTCTAAGACTATTGATATACGACTCTTAGTAGATTTTATCAAAAGAAAATGGCCAGAACGCAAGCTACCTCCTACACCGCCACCAGAAATCGAAGCCCAACCTGAAATTAAATTACCAGCTAAAAAGGGCAATCGAAAAACCAAAAAGTGATGTTAAACATTTTTCTATAATAATTTTTTTCGAAATTTTTAATTAGATGTTTTTGATCAATTCATTTTGTATTAAGTTTTTATTTTTGCATTTTATATTTTATTTAATACGATTATACGAAATATGAATCATAGAGTGATTATGGGAAAATCAGAAAATTTGCCAATTAAAATTTAAAAATCCTAAAGACTTCTAGAAGAAACTGGGCTCAGATAATCTGCCGTGTTGCCCCGATGAGTATTGGTATACTTCAAATATCCTCGAAATATTTATTTTGGTTTCTCAAGCAAAACATGTAGGTTGCTTTGCAATGTTTCCCATCAGTGCCGAGTCTACTATTTTTGTACCACCGTGGTAGAGCCATGCTGCAGCTATATTAATTGTATAGTTGTAGCACGAATGGGTCGGCTCGACCGGGGAAGGACCACGCTCTCACAGAATACCAGCGTAAAATAGCAGCTTAATGCTGCTGTGTTTCGTATGGTTTTTACTGGAAAAGAGGCATTCCATCTTAGTCCTTAAGGCTGACAACGCATCTTCATTTTGATGCAAATGAGGATAAATGTAGATGTCTATGGCCACAGCAACCACTTACCATCAGGTGGACTGTGTGCTCGCTTGTCACCCTTTTCCAATAAAAAAAACCTTATAGCGATCGCTTGAAACCTTATTCAACTTTATCATTATAGATTATTATACGAGGGTGGATTGAAAAGTACTCGGCCTAACCAAGAAAATGAACACATACTAAATCAGTCACATACAATATTTTTATTTTTCTACATAATCACCATCAAGTTCAATACACTTTTGCCACCTCCCCCTTCCAAGCATTTAGACCGTTGAAAAAAAAAATGATTCTTCCTTAGAGTCAAAATATGCGTCTACAGCTGCTTTGACCTCGTCGTTTGTCGAAAATCTTTGACCTCCCAAGTGCCTTTTTAGGTTAGGGAACAGAAAGAAGTCTGATGGTGCCAGATCAGGTGAATACGGCGGATGCGGTAACAGTTCAAAGCCACAGTTGTGAATTTCAACCATTGACTGTACTGACGTGTGAACACGGGCGTTATCTTGATGAAACAGGACTTTTCTTCTGAGCATTCCTCGACGTTTTTCTTTTATTTCCTCCCGTAAACGACGTAGTAAGGTGCAGTAGTAATCAGAGTTTATAGTCTGACCCCTTTCAAGACAATCAATCATAATCACACCTTTCGAGTCCCAGAATACTGAAGCCATCACCTTATTTGCCGACAAAATCGACTTAGCCTTTTTTAGGGGGTGGTGAACCAGGTCTTCTCCACTGTTTTGATAGTTGTTTTGTTTCCGGTGTACAGTAATGAACCCATGTTTCGTCCATAGTAACAAAACGATTCAAAAAATCATCTGCATCGGCTTCAAATAACTCCAAACAGTCGCGTGAAATAGTCCATCGCGTCCTTTTTTATTCAACTGAAAGCAGTCGCGGAACCCACCTCGCAGACACCTTGTGGAAACCCAACTCGTTGACAATGATGTTTTGAGTTCGTTCATAAGAGATGCCTATAATCTCGGCTATCTCTATAATTTTTAATCTGCGGTCTCCCATTATTAAATCAAGTACTTTTTTAATATTTTCGTCAGTAGTTGACGTCGAAGGCCTTCCAGAGCGGGGTTCATCTTTCACACTCTCTCTACCACACTTAAATTCTGCTATCCATTTTTTGACGGATGAATATGACAGAGCACAATCGCCTAATGTACTGACCATGTCATCATGGATGGCTTTTGATGATAGCCCCTTCTTATGGAGGTACTTAATGACGGCACGCTGCTCGATTTGCTCCATTCGCGGAAATTATGTCCGATTACTTTGTTAATAAATTTATAAAATCACAACTAATTATCGCACACGTTTCGAACTTCACACAATGAACTAGTCTGAACTGAACTAAATAATGTGGGTAGATTTGATTTTTAGAATTGAATGGATCTGTGTTAGGCCGAGTACTTTTCAATCCACCCAGGTATACAGTCATGGACAATTTTAAAGGAGTGCAAACAAAGTGTATGTATAAAGCAAAATATCATGGACATAGAATACTATAATTACATACATAATAGAACGGAGTGGGCGGAGCCCGTGTAGCCACTATAATGTCACTAACACGTCAATTCACACGTATAAATATCAACACGAGATGTGTTTTGACGTTACAATCGTTTCCAAATTTCGCATGCAAATTATTTAGAAAATGCCAAACTGCACGCTACTTACAAATAAATATGTATTAAAATCTGTCTGTCAACACAGCGAATCGGGTTTGTAGTTGTAATAATACGACGTAATTGCTTGTATGTGTGCTCCCGGCGACGCCTATGTTCATACAAAATAAGGTTGACAGCCATTCTATTTTGTATTATAGTATTCTATGATCATGGATATTTGTGACAATTACGTTAATTAATTTGGATTTTGCTTATATTATTTTTCGTTGATTTAAAATTGCAAACGTCGAAAATACAATTGAACAAATTACAAAAAATGACCAAATTAAAAGAAAAAAAAAGAAAACATAATTCAGGAAACATGTCCTTATTATTTTTTTCATAAATGCTTAAGAAAAGTTATAACTTGGGCTACCATCATCTTAGTCTTGCCCCATCTAGCTCTTCGAACTGCTTCCAGTCACCTTGGCAATATCAATAAAATTTTGACAGATTGTATGTTTAAGATCTCCCAAATTAGTGGCGGCAGGATTTCTTTTTTTAATTTATCTTTCAAGCTTATTCCATACATGGGAAATTAATTCAAGCTACTCTCTATGACATGTGGCAAGAAGGACGCCTCTGGCAGGCAAGTGTGAATTTAATCTTGCCTATTTTAGTCGTTTTCTCACAGTTTTTGGTGCTTACTATAAATTCAGATATAAACGTATATTCATATGAGTGTTACTTAAAGCGTAAATTGAGTAAAAAGTGCTTAAACCGCAAATATTTAATTTTTAGGTGCCATAAGTATGCTATTAAAAAAAGGAAATACCACAAATATTTTATGCTAAGTTACAAAAACTGAAAACTCATTTTATTAATCACTAGCAATCCGTCCTTTACCTTTAATTTATACGCGGTCGAGCCATGCTACAGCTTTATGGTTGTAGCACAAATGGGTCGGTTCGACCAGGGATAGACCACGCTCCCATAAAATACCAGCCTGATATTGCTGTGTTTCGTATAGTAAGCGTAGAAAACCGGCGACTGCTTTAACTGAAAACGAGGCATGCTATCTTAGTTCTCAGAGGTGACGATGCATATGTATTTTGATTCTTTATCCAGGATAAATGTAGATGACTATGAGCCACGTCATTCACATACCATCTGGTGAACTGTGTGCTAGTTTGTTAACCATAATCTGTAATTAAAAAAAACTTGTGCTATATTGGACTAAGCCACTCAAAAGGGTAAAAATAAGACTTTAAAAACCAAAAAAATAATAAAATAATTTCCAATAAAATCTTCTGAAGTGGGACTTCAATTATGCTATGTTTTAGGACCAACTTCAGAAGGTGAAGTGATTTTATTATTTTCAAGTCCGATTCTACTTTTTTAAAGTATTTTTTTTCTGAATGTTAGAACAAAATATGTGATTTAGCATAATAACAAAAATGCTTGACAGATATAATTAATATGCAAAATTGAAGTAAGTCATAGATTAATCAATAGTCTCTCTGATCTCAGATCATCTGATCTCTATGATCAATAGATACAATCTGATAAACAAGGCTTTTAACGTTTGCTGTCAAAGCAAATTGTTTTATGAATCTCTATATTATATTGTAACTCTGTTAATTTGATTCAAATATGAGCGAAAGTCGTAGTGTCGAGGTTATATTTGAAAAAGAAGTGGATTCTCCTGAAGAACCTCCCATGGAGGAATGGTCATCAGTCATCTTGCAAGTGCCAGAAGAAAACCTAAAAAGAATCAATTATGGAAAAGGCCTTTATGATCCTGGCAGTGGAGAAATATGCGCAAAATATTTACCTATGTCTGCAAGTTCGGTATTGAGACTTCCATACTTTACCTACCCAGCAGTTATTGATCCAGGTATTCATGAAGCTCTTCTTAATCCTGAACCAGCTAATATTTATCCTAACGATGGCCAGGAACTTTACTTGACATTATGTAAAGAGGCTGGGCTATGTCCAATTGCTAGTTTTTATCGACAGTTACTACAAAATAAGATAAATTTGCGATATTATGGGGTACATCCTATGGCATTTAAAGTTATCTCAATGGCATTAAAATTGAACAAATTCGTAACGATTTTGGATCTTACAGACAACTGGATCAATGAAGACGGATGTTTCTACTTAGGTGAAATGTTAGCGAAAAATAATACACTAAAAGTTTTAGTTTTGCATGGTTGTAGAATTAGGTCGGAAGGGGCTAGACGTTTGTTTGTAAATTTGCCCCAAAACAGTGTACTTCGTGAACTGAATCTTTGTAAGAATCAATTAAATGATAAGGGAGTTGAGTATTTAGCTAATGCTATAGGTCTTAGTGCAAACATTTCTAATTTAGATTTAAGTTACAACAGTTTAACTGAAGACTCGGTAAATTTTCTTGTAGATGCTTTCGAAAAGAACAATAAACTAACACACCTTAACCTATCATGGAATATGATTCGATCTCCTAATACTATTTTTTCTTTGTGCTCTAAACTAGCAGAAAATAAGTCTTTTCTGGACTTAAACCTATCTTGGAACTCATTGAGTGACTTTCGTGTAGGAAAATCGATTAACCTCTTACTTAGAAATAAAAACTTTTCTTATCTTAACTTAAGCAATAATAGACTTTATGGCCAAGCGATAAGTTCTATAGCAGCGGGCTTAGGAAAGGGAGGAAATCTTGTTTTATTGGATTTATCGTCAAATCCACTATCGCCTCAAGATGCTTACAAATTATTATTACCTATGACGATATCTTCTGTTAAATTACAGAAACTTCTTCTTGATAACGTTTATGTTACATCAGATTTTATAAAACTACCAAATGAAATACTATCAATGAAATTTAGAGAAAACGTACAAATTATATATGGCGGAGTTTATGCAGAAGCTGTTCATAAGAGCGTTCATTTAAAAGATTTAGTGCTGAATAAAATAGATTACCTTTCCAAGAAATCTAAAAAGCAGTCAGCAGATATTGCACTTATAGTAATGGAACTATATAAAGCTGACAAAGAGCCAATGGATTCAAAATCATTTATAAGAGCATTGAAAGACCGAGGTCTTCCATTAGAAGAAGAGTTAGCAGACCAATTAACATGTTTATTTGCCGGTCCTGCAAAACCTAAGTCGGCTACTGTAAATTTGGCAACGATGGTAGAATATTTCAAGCGCAAATGGCCTGAAAGACAACTTCCGCCAACACCGCCACCTGAACCTATGCCTGCTCCAGTCATTATAAAGAAATAAAAACAAAAAAAGAAGTAGTGTTACTAGAAATGTATCTAGAAATTTAAATGTATGTATTAAATATAAATGTCCCTTTTAATAATATCCTTAAAATTATTTTATTGCTTATTTTATTTTGTACCCTTACTTCATAAATTATTAATTAAATATATTTGTCATTATATTGAAATGCACTCTAAATCTGTATTTTTCATTATTTTTTTTATCACTAGTACTCATATTAATAGGTACACAGTTACAAATAATTATAACTTGGACTATAAGCCTAGATATAGCCCCGCGGCTTCGTCTGGGTGGTATCTATTAATGTGGCGTCATTTATTTAGTTTTAAGGGGAAATATAACCTCAAATGGCTTAGCAAGATCCTCCGTTATGCCGAAAATATTGCAGCATTAATTTTGAAATAAATATATGGTAAAGTTGAGGATTAATGTTAAGGACTATGTTAGACGAAAACACGATTCCGTAAAATTTTCTCGATAGAAAAAAAAATCCAAAGTTACCTCCAAAATAAACAATAAACCGCTGTTATTCATAAAATAAGATCATGAAACTTTGCATACTAACTGAACTAACTATAAATCAGTGCTTATGTTATTTACTTTTTTTTAAATACCATTATTTTCAATGTAAAAAGAAATTACTTAAACTATCGGCTTCTTGAAGCTTTATTCCTGCCGCCCGGTCAGTTTTGCTTCGGCCTTTGAAGGTGGAGGTTGTGTCGCTTACGATCAGAATACACATTACGCAACAGGACTATTTAATATTAAAATGGGAAATAACCGTAATAAAAATAAGAAGCGACTAGGTTGGCGTTAAGAAACAGGCATAAATATGATAAACCTAATAAAATAAGTATCTAACGACCTATCTACTTACAGTATTAGTGATTACAAATATGTCGGTACATAGCATATGACGCGCGGGGAAGTGGGGGCGAAATTAGAATTTGAGCTGACTTACTATATCCTCTTAATTACCCATCAATGACAATTTATTTTATGATTTTTTATTTCACAAAAATCTCCAAGCTTTTTGTTTAAAATATAACTGTGATAACTCCTGCTCCTGGCAATTCCCTCTAAACAAAATATTACAAATGGTTATTCATGTATAAATGGCTCGCTCGATAAAAGGCAGTAATTTCGATACTATAGACAGACATTTCAATTTTATATATGTGTATATTAAACATATTTCTGATAATATGATAATTATCAAAAGTAATGGACATGCCTATATAGTCATATGTCTGCGAGTACATTTTACAAACTAGGCTTAAGGGGAAATATAACCTCAAATGGCTTAGCAAAATCCTCCGTTATGCCGAAAGTATTGCAGCATTAATTTTGAAATAAATATATGATAAAGTTGAGGATTAATGTTAAGGATTATGTTAGACGAAAACACGATTCCGTAAAATTTTCTCGATAGAAAAAAAATCCAAAGTTACCTCCAAAATATACAATAAACCGCTGTTATTCATAAAATACTTTAAATAAGATCATGAAACTTTGCATACTAACAGAACTAACTATAAAGCAGTGCTTATGTTATTTACTTTTTTTAAATACCATTATTTTCACTGTAAAAAAGAAATTACCTAAACTATCGGCCTCTTGAAGTGTGATTCCTGCCCCCCGGTCAGTTTCGCTTCGGCCTTTGAAGGGGTAGGTTGTGTCGCTTACGATCTACACATTACGCAACAGGACGTAAAATTAAAATGGGAAATAACCGTAATAATAAGAAGCGACTGGGTTGGCGTTAAGAAACAGGCATAAATATGATAAACCTAATGAAATAAGTATCTAACGACCTATCTACTTACAGTATTAGTGATTACAAATATGTCGGTACATAGCATACGACGCGCGGGGAAGTGGGGGCGAAATTAGAATTTGAGCTGACTTACTATATCCCCTTAACGTCTCAAATATACTATATATAATCTATGACTTAACGTAAGGCTTAGTAGCTAATATCACGTTCATGGGCATATACCTACGTATATACGATTGAAAAACACACAACACAAACAGTAACAATGTGTGTTTTTTTTCTGCAAGTTCATTTATTTAATTTAAGGGGTAACCTCGGATGAAATAAATATGCCACCCCACTTCGTCCCGTGGGTGACTTAGACTATAGGAAATGCTAAGACTTATTTTACTAAAAAAATATAAATGAAATAATTATACGGATTTGTTTTTACGCGATTGCCCCACAAGGAGAGTAATATTTTTCGAGGTATGTATGTATATATGTCTATTTCTTTAAACACCCTGTAGCCTAAACGACTTGATGTATTTCAACCTTAAATTAATTACATACATACATAAGTATGCACTCTGAGATTTCAACATAATAAGAGGTGTCGTTAGATTCGTCTTATGGCCCACCATACATTACATACGGAATTCCGAAACGGAACAAAAGGGTCGGTCATACACATACGGAATCCCGTTTTGAGAAACGGGATTCCGTATGTATTTGGCCTGCCTTATTGTGGAAGTGACATATGGAATCTCTATATCTATCTCTTTTAAGTGAACCGTTTTAAGCAGCCGGGCTATTTTCGCACGATGCTTTATTACTATTTTAACCTTTAAGCTTGTTACTTATTTTAATGCTGCGCCATTTATTTTTAATGGTCTTGGGATGGACGAATTAAACTAAGAAAAAAATATAGTTTGATTTCAACATGTAGTATAATAATAGTAAATAGAAATCATTATAAGAATAATGGCTACCGGAAACTGGCGGTGTAACCATCATGTCCAGATCGGCAACGTGGTGCCACGTCAAAGGCACGAGACGTCTGGCACTGCTTTCGTCAATGCACCTGCCAACAGTAAACGCCCTTGTACATCATTGGATTTATATGAGCTGGTAAATTTGGTAGTCATGATGCAGCGATTGCCATTTGCCTGCCAAGCATGGTGATAGTGGCAAATCTTTTGTACCACGGGAGAAGCCCATATTTAGCAATAGATATTTCGGGCTGATAAAGACTAAGAAGACCAGAAAATACGAAGTCTATACCATGATACACGTTTAATTTTTTATCGAGAGAACCGATTGAATGTCAAGCACAATTACCTGCATTTTAAAACAATACATGAGGCGTGCTCGTACACGCAGTGATATATTGCATTTAAATTCCCTTTTGCATAACCATTCAGAGTGGCAATTGCACGGATTGGATTGTTTTAGATTTCCAATACTAATTAGCATGGACATTTCTACAGGCACAAGGTCTATCGAGTCACTTTCAGTCACGAGTTTTTCCTGGAGTGTAAATGTTTAGTTTTAGTTATTTGACGTATTTTTTCTTTCGGTTATAAAACGTTGACATGCTTTATTACAAATATGTTTATAAATTAATCCTGCAAAATTATTATTTAATGAAGAACGAATTATTAGGACTTGTACTGTAAAGTACGCTAAAATAACATTTGCGACAGTTTTATAATATATTATTAACGTCAAAAATTTCATATTATACCTCAAATTTTTTATACATATATTAAAACTGACTTTATTTTTGTGACTATTATATTTTTGTCTATTTGCAGATATGTGCAATATACAGTTGCATATTTTCATCTCAATATCTTTATTTTTTATAGCAGACAGTCCATCTGGTGGTAAGTGATCCATCCTCGATTAAGAATTAAAATGCAGATGCTTTATCAATTTATCATCCATGAGGACTAAGATAGAATGCCGATATTTAGTAAAAAGGATGCAGTTCTCTACACTCATCATACGAAGCACAGCAGCATTAAGATGATATTTTACGCTGGTATTCTGTGAGAGCGTGGTCGTTCCCCGTTTGAAGAGACGCATGCGTGCTACAACCATAATATAGCTGCAGCATGTCTCTACCACGCATAAATGTTTAATTAATTTAACTATCTCCGTCCGGCAACTGGAGATGTAGATTTTAAAAATCCTTTGCGTAAGCACTGCGCCGGCGCATCTCGCTCGCGGTCGCAGTTGGTAGCGTGCCTCACGCGACCGCCTGTCTTTATTTATTATTTATTGCTTTCCAATAATCTCCAGCTAGATAACGTGCGTGGCCACGCACGCGTTCCCACATGTTATTATGTAAATATGAGCGATGAATCCCGTCCGGCGACATGTAGGTAGCCGATTACTGTTAGAGTGTGCTTATTGTGTAATACATCACTTTTTTTGTATCGGAAAGGTTCTTTATTTTTTCATGCATATTAGTATTATTTTTAAGTGTATATCGTGTAGCGACGGTGTAAGAATGTCTACTAGCCCATACGGTCCTGTGAGTATCGTAAGAGGCGACAGAGGGAAAGCAAATGTTCTAAAATGGGCCAGGTCTATGTACACTACCCAAAAAAAGAAAATAAACTGTAGAATTTGGAAAAAATACACATAATTCATTTAAATGTATACTATCGTGGTAAACAGTTGATGTTTATCAATAATTTTTATACCGATTATTATTAATTATTATTACTGATTAATTACCCCGTGCTACAATTACATTACACCATAAAGCGACCATTGTTCATACAGAGCTGTCAGCTGTCACAACAGTGTCAAAATACGTGAAATAAACATGTCAAATTTCATACATACATAAATATACATAAACACTCACGCCTGTCACCCAGAGGGGTAGGCAGAGACTACAGACTTCCATTTAGCACGATCCTGACACACCTCACTCGCCTCCTTCACATCCATACACCTACGCATACATGCTCGTCGGTTAAGGGTACTTCTAATTTGGCCCGTTTTCAATAAATCGCCAATTTGGTCGATAAATTTTCGCCTAGGACGTCCCTTCCCGACTCTGCCATTCACTTCTGCAACATAAATTTTCTTTGTCACTCTTTCCTCATTCATTCTTTCCACATGACCAAACCACCGAAGCATTCCTTTCTTAATCCTGGTCACAACATCATCTTGCAAACCACATCCTTCTCTTATTACACAATTTCTTACCCTGTCGTTCAGA